ACCAAGATCATAACTAGTTTCTACTTCTAACTTAAAAAGTCATATAACCAATCATTTAAATGCCGGTTGGATTACTGATCACACTGTTCACTTTGATGTCAATTCAGCAAAGTTTAATAGATACACTACAAGTGCTTTCACTCAGTATAGCCTAATTTATTTATAATTTGTCTCATAGCTAGTATCTACTTTACAGAAAAGATTCCTCTGATATTTTGTGTTTTTTGTCTTGTGTTTTTGCAGGATAAGGAGAGACCTGGTGATCAGCGCAAAGTGGAGAAAGAAGCTGAGGAGAAGAAAGAAAGCCAGCAGACAGTAGGAGCAGAAAAGACAACCAGTCACAGCTTCCGTCCTTTTCCTCCTCCTCCTCATTTGGGCTCAGAGGTAAACCTACATTTATTCAAATTATGAGATTTTTTTCTTTCTTGAAAAATAAAAATAAATCCCAAATAAGTCCAGATGTTTTTAAATGCTCTGATTTTTCTCTAATGTCTCCGTCTTTGTTTTATAAACCTGTCTGTAGGAACTAGCAAAAGACTCAACAGCACCATCTGGTGACTAAAAATGGAAGTGATTTTAATTTAGTACCGCAAAGTTAAATTTATAATAGCAATTTAAATAATAATATAGCAATATTTTGTCTCTGTGCGTTAACACAACATGGATGCACAAAACATTGCAATGCTGTGCTGTATCCATTTTTTCTGCCATTTCTAATCGTTATCTGCTTAATGTGGACGTTGTTCACGTTTTCTTTTTCAGTGACACATGGAAATCAAATTCTCTTTACTTTGGATCAAGTTAATGTTTATCAATGTTGTTTTTAATGTAATAATAATGTTTTCTGTGCCGGTGTCTCCCTCGTCAGGATCGCGTGTCCTTCCTGGCTCCACCCCCTTTTGCTCCTCCTCCTCCCTCGTGGATGTTTGGTGGGAAAGAGTCTGATGGCTCTCCTGGCACTGATTCCACATCCAGCATGTTGATGTTGTGGTACATGTGTGGCTTCCACACGGGCAGCTTCATGGTCAGTAGCAGGTTATTAGACAGTGTCCCGATTCGTTGATGTTGGGCTGTATAAAGGGCTGTACACGCCCTGTATGCGTAAACAGAGTATATTATCATGCATCATGACAGTTAGCTGCAACACCTTTTATGGTATTGAAGTTTATACTTCACTAACGGTTCCAACGCTCTTTCACCCCCAGCTGTTTCCTGTTGTTCTCGTTATGGGGCCCATGGTCGTATATCACACGTCCTGAGGACATATGAAGAGTATAAAAAGCTCTTTATGAATGAATATGACCTGATAAATCACAAAATGTGTGACTGCCATTTAAACAAAACAAGTTGACAATTGTGACAAAAAATAATACATCTTCATCCATGTCTGTTGTCTTCATATATGAGGTATCTCTGAAGTACGCAGCACTTGAGAGGTCACGTGTTTTATCCAAACCATGTGACCAGTTGGTTTGATGGTACAGTTGTAATGAACTGCCAGTTAAGGGTATCACTGGATGTAGTGTTAGGGGAGGTTATAATAAACCTTAAAAAGTTGACCTCTGGTAATATTTTGCATATTAATCTCACAACTGCAGCTCATTGTGCTGAAATTATATAAAATCTGTTCCTTCAGAACAGCCAAACATAAATGGTGGATCTTACTTGACGTCACCTACTTTTTAGCCTGAAGTGACAATATCAAGACAAGTGGGTGGAGTTCCTCGTTAGCAAGCTTCATCCATAAACTGTTTGGCATTAAGTGAGTAACAGACAGTATAATGGTCCATTCACTGAAACACTGGAACAGTTAATCCTGAAAGCTGTGTTAGTTGTCAGATAATTGCATCAGAAATGCTACAAAGTCACCAGCAGCACAAACATGACCTGAGGTGAAGCCCAGTAGATGCTAGCTAGTAGAAAGCATCATGTGTTAGATGAATTATAGCAGCGGTCTCCAACCTTTTTTGCGCCACGGACCGGTTTATGCCCGACAATATTTTCATGGACCGGCCTTTAAGGTGTCGCGGATAAATACAACAAAATAAAACTAGTACCGGTACCGAAAAACAGAAGATTTATTCATAACACACGTGAAAAGACCCAGGAAAACAGAGTAAACGATAAAAACGATAACAAAATAACGCTGAAAACCGATAAAAACCCTGAAAACCAGACATTTCACACCTGAGCCTCAACTCTCGCGGCCCGGTACCAAACGACTCACGGACCGGTCCGAGGCCCGGGGGTTGGGGACCGCTGAATTATAGAACGTAGAGATGTATTAAAAAAAACAGTAAATGATACTGATTGCATTGAAATGTAACTGAGTAGTGAACACTGTAAGAGCTGGGGGTGACACTCAGGACTTTGCTTGTGTCATTAAATAAATTTTTTGTAGCTCAGTTATAAATATAAGAATGTGACACTTGCTTTTAAACTTATGTGTCGTGAATTTGTTTCAGGCTCAGCAGATGTTCAAGCCGGCCTCCAGAGACTGAGGTGAGAATCCACACTGAACATGTGCGCAGACTCAGACAGGCAGGAATAGAATGTCGTGATAATGCGCTTCACACAAAGGCATCACAGGAAAACATGTCAGTGTATATATAAAAAGTTTTTTAAGGTATATTTATGCCATGGAGTGTATACATAGCTTCATAGAGTAGTGGTTTACACTTTTGTAACGTGAAAGATCTCCAGTTTGAGTTTATTATATTTGTTTTCTATAACCAAAACTTCTATCTGGTCTTTAAGTGATGACGTGATGAACCCTTTCAGGTCCAAACTAGTCTGTGTTTATTAAGGCTGTTGTGTTTTTAACATGTTTTAATGTTTTGTATCTTGTTCTGTTTAATCTCAACAAGCCCGTAAAAACAGTCAGTGATCACTGTCGGCCTCTCTCGGTTTTAATCATCACTGTTCATTTGACAGCTCAGTGTTTAAACCCTTACGATGTAGCTGCAGCCCAGCAGCAGTATGTGAATGACTAACCTCGTATTGTGGGAGGATTATCTCAGTTGTTCTCCTGCTGAAGTTTGGTCCGTTTACAGCATCCTGCCATGCCATTACATTTGTCTCTAACCATCAGGAACCCTCACGTTAACTTTTATCCAGTGGAAGAAAGTTAGCTTCATCCTTCAGCTTCACTGTGTTTATGCTAACATAGCTGTGTTGCTAGCAATCACGTAGCACATCATTATATACCAGCTAGCCCAACTTCAGTAACCCTACAAACGTCACTGCTGTTTAGTTTTCTGTCTTCATTTATGTTGGAAGTGATAGCAGAGCTGTACGTTTGAATTTATTCAGAAACCTCTCAGTCAGAACATGCTATATCATGTTTAGGTGGAAGCTAGCAAGCTAACTTCCTGCTAACTTCTAACTTTGTTAAATGTAATCAGTTCTATTTTCATGGATGCCTGGATGTTAAACTTCATTGTTACACCTGGTAAAGCAGCAACGCTGATCGTTTTATTAAAGATGAAAGAATTTAGGCAGTTTGTAACTCTCAGTGATGCTGCAGTGTTCGTTTGACTTTATAACCTGCAGCAGAGTTTGGGCCTGACACGGCTGATGACGTCAGACTTAAAGACCAGATGGACGTTATTTTTCTGTCATTTAATTGTTCATCGGTCACTTAATTCCTCTGTTTAGCCTAAATGGCCATTGAGGAGGTCTTTATAAATAGGAAAAGCTTTAAAAGTCCCAACATTGGCTCAGATGACAGTTGCAAGTTATGGACCAGAGGCCTGTATTATAAGCATAATTTTGGCTTATTGGGGTTAACCCTGGGTGTTTTGTACTGTGAAGGTGGTTCATGTCTTACTGGGGTAAATCATCTTGGAAACGTATGCTATAGGCCTGTGGAGCAGGTTAGGTTCCAGATTAGAGGTAAGCAGATATGAAATCACGGCCTGCTGACCAATCGATTATCCAGATAATGGTGTCACTGTTCCTGGAAGATCTCTCTCACAGTAGCGTTTCTCTTCAGTTGTGTTTCTACAGACTTACCTGATTAAAAGGAAAAAGACAAAGTTTGAATGAGTGCAGGATCTGAGCAGCGCGACTGATCTTAAATGTATGCATTTATTTCTTTTATTTCTTTACTGTAGAGTCGAGAGAATCAAGGGACAAGATGCAGTTGGGATGTTCATCTTTCATTCACAGCTCACGTGTATTCTGATTATTGTTTGTATTTCTACAAGTATCTTATTTGTTCTTAGTTGAATGTTGTCATGGAAACTGTGCACGTAGTGGAATTTTTGTTGTTGTTTATTTTTTTTTGAAGCGAATATGAAGTGTTTGTTTCAAAGTTGCAGCTGTTGACAAATTAAATCAGATTATTTGGAGAAAAGAGTGTTTTGTTATTAAAAAGAAAGCTGGATTACCTCTGAGCGTCATCTTCTTCTGTGTCTTAAAAAACAGATCAACTTCCTGTGGCAGGTTCTGATCCTGCACATGGTTTTATTTTTGCCGGTTGACATTTGCTCCTCATTCATGCCACTGAACTTTACTCTAACCCCCTTTCTCTGCTTGCGTGACACATGTTGACTCGATTGATTAGATGTTAAAGCTTCTTATGTGCTTTGACGTAAACGGTGACACATGAAGACCTTTGGGCGTAGCACCTCTTCCTATCAAGCTGCTGTTTGTAAAGAGGCTTTATCCATAAATCACAGCAATAAGAACTGATCATTTTGAAACACTGATGAATTTGATTAGAGAAAATATTTAAAATTATTGTGTGGTGGTGTTGTATGGCAGCAGGAATCGTGTCATCTCTTAAGTCTGATTTTAATCCAATATTAAAAATGAAGATCTTGCTTTCATGTCCTGTTTGACAGAGCAGAGGTTCTTCTCACAGTTGACCTCAGATGTGAGATGGCTGATTGTCTCATTATTGAAAACTAAACATTGTCTGAGTGACGTCAGAGCTGCTCACTTAAAAACATCTGAGAATAAGCCTCAGAATCAGGGAGCACACTGAGCGTCGCTGGCCAGCATCTTTTAGTGTCCGTTACCTGTCGGCAGTCCTTCAGCACAATGGTCAGCAGCAGGATGCTGCTTCTCGGTGCCTCCTGCTGGCTGCTCGTTGTTTTAGGGAGTTGCGAGGAGCCAATCGAAGAGAGGTCAGCCGAATACGACGCCATCGAGACACAAGAAGAGAAAGAGCTGGTGAGTAGCAACGTCATGGCTGACTTATGATGGGTCATGATGATGCTATAAAGACAAAGGGGGCTGATTGTTGGGGCTGCAACAATTTTTTTTTCATTACAAATTTTGTTTCTGAATTGTTTTGTCTGTACTATTTAACCCTAACCCACAACAGCAACGCCTTTAGGAACAGAAAATCTGAAGCTGGGTCTGTCGTCCATTCTGCATGACCATGTTGTCCATCAGCTGCTGCCTGCAGTTTGAGTTTAGCAAATTTGAGATTTTGGTCAGTTGTATTATCTTGTTTTATTTGGCTTTCCTGCAAACAGGACTTGCAATAAATGTTAAAAATGAGTTGGCTTTGACTGATATAAACTAAATCCAGTACAAACTTCAGGGCTGAATATTCCCAGCCACCTTCTTGTACTGGCTGTATCATAAAGGCTTCCTTTGCAGTAAAAGAGAGGGGGGCTCAGTTATTCAACCATCATGCTGACATCATCATCTATAGCTGTTAAATTATGCTAACATTTTCTTCATTATGAGAAGTTGACTTGAAAATGTTACCAGTTTAATTGAAGCAGTTTAGTGTTACCATGCTAATGATTATCACGGGCAAAGCTGAATGCTTTAGGCCTCTTTAAGGCCCCCTCCTCTGCCTAAAAGCCGGATCTCTCAGAAACCTTAAGAGCAAACCGTAGTCTTTGACAGCTGTACTTGGTGCCAAGCAGCAGGATTTAGTTTACATGCTTTTCTCTTTATTTGAAATACTGTCCACATGTAATATGAAAATTAGATATACAAGAATTGTAATAGTTATGAAGCAAAGTCTGAATTCATGCAATGTTTACAGCCCTTAAAAACGACAGAGTAGGTGCCACTGATCATTATCAATCCAAGGCTGATGATGGTAAATGCTCCTCTGGGATCTCAAATTAATTCGATGGGCGTAGCCATAAACACAATATGATGTTAGTTTCAGTTCTTCTGATTTCTGAGTCAGATTTTAACATGATCTCGTTTCCTCCTTAGATTGAAGCTCTGCAGGAAGTTCTGGAGAAGCTAAAGGGCAAACAGCTGCCATCCTCAGAGAAAAAACTCGGCTGGCTTGCTGCTGTAAGTACGATCGTTCATTTCTCCTTCCTCCTCCAGTGCTGATCAGATAGCTTGGGATTTATTTTAGGTGTTCAGGTTAGCAGATTTCCACCTCCAGAGTAAGCATGCACATTTCTCACACTGCTGTTCTAGAGCAGGATGCCATCCAAGTACCACTGATCCTGAGTGGATAAGACAATCGGCCTCGTGCCAAACTGAAATGCCTCCCATCTTCCACAAAAACGAAAGATTTACAGACACAAACCTTTTTGGTTTCTGGTGATTCACATCTCTTTTTATATGAATATGTAACAATGTACTTGTCAGGCTTTGTTTGTCCAACTAATACTGTACTAGCAAATATCATGATCAAACTGTATCCAGACTGAAAGTCATGTTGTGTTTTTGTATGTCAGTGTGATGCAGGTGAGCAGTGTGCAATACGTAAGGCTTCGAGAATCGGGAAGCTGTGTGGCTGTCCCGGAGGAACCGCTTGTAACTTCAGTGTCCTCAAGTGTCTGTAAAGTTCAAACACTAAAGTCCTGCTGTTCAGAGAATAAAGACACGTTTTTAAAATTGCCTCTCGTCTGTTTGTTTGTTTTTTATACAAACATTACCTCAAATAAAAAAAATCATCACTGACAATCGAAATTTGTTTCTTTTTTAGCTTTTTTATGAAGCAAAACTAACATGAACTTATTCACTCAATTTGCACAGATACTACTGTATTTATAATCATGATTACACATCACAGTTCAAAGTTATCTTTATTTATCAGTTTCTGGGTTATTTTAATGAACAACAGATGGAACGATATCGGGGACAGTCTTAAGTTTGTACTTTTGCCTTACAGGGATTATTTGCACATAGTCTGACCTCTACCTTTTGCATACATGCAAACACTGACTTGGATACTCATATTAAAAAGTTTCAATCACTGAAACAGTACATGTGAAAAAAATGACCAAAAGCAGAATAAGTCAACTTTAAAAGATTTTAAGATCACTTGGTAACAGCCAGAGTGTGTGGTGTTTGATGTTTAATGAAGCTGACGTCAGCACTGTAGCTGCCGGTGTGAAAAGCATTAAAAACAAAGTAACATCTGTGATAATCAAATTTCTGTCTGTACTTGTTTGAAGTATGTACAAAAACCAGATAATCAGACAGGGTCCAGTTTTTGCATTAAGTTGAAAATTGCAAATTACATTAAATTTTCTGGCGACAAAAAATTTGTTGTGACCAAATAGAACATTTAATACCTGAAAAAAGTTGCACACTGAACATGTTGTCATGTTTACCTTACAAGTACTTGAGTGAAATTAAAACCAGCAATATTTCCAGAACACTTACATTACTCCAAGTGCCTCAACCTTTACTGCAACAAACATTTCAGATGTTCAACAGTAACATTTGAGGATATCCTGCAAAACCAACAGCTGCAATATTAAAACACTAAAATAGATCCTCAGATTTGGACGAAGTAACATTCAGGTTATTTCAGTCGTCAAAATTTCCCAATGAAAGCGCAAAGCTTGAAATGTACAAAAAAAGCTACTTTAATCCAAAACTGAGAAAAAAAATATGGTGTTAACCTAAAACAATCCTCAGGTTTATTTAAATGGAACATTGACCCCCACCCCCTCTGCCTAAAACAAAAGCATCTAATGAAAGTCATGAAAAGCCTGTAAAAGTCTTTTGGATGAGTGAAGCTTCAAGCGCACAAAAAGGCATGCAAAAAGCAAAACATCGTTCACACACTTGAACCTGATCGCAGCTAGCAGTAAAAATCTGACCTTTATCTGATTTCATTTAATGGAAATGGTTGTTCTACAAATGGTCATATGTAACAGTAAAAAAGACAGTCAACAGCGTCCAGTGGGCAGTAAACGTCTCAGCTGTGGGGTAAAAAACAAAAAGCAAGGTTTGTGTCCATTCAGCGTGATGCATCCCCACGGTAACCAGTTCGTTTGTTACGCAAAACGTTTGTACAGCAGTCGGTATGTTAGTCCAGGCTCCGCTCCTCCTGCTGGACAGCAGTGCTCGCTGTTAGTACGACCGTTTTCCATGTTCAACTCCTACAAAGCAGAAAAAACAAGTTAAGTGATGGTTATCATTAATTAACCTAAAATGCATGTGTTTGAATGTGGGAGGGAGATGGAACCCAGACAGAACCCACACTGGGGAGAACATGCAGACTCCACACACAAGAAACTAGCTGGACGATGGGAGTTGAACCCAGGACCTCTTTGCTGTAGAGGTGGCAGTGTTAAACCCTTTGTCACCTTACCACCAATAAAGTGGGTGTCTATTCACTCTGCATAATACAGTAAATAAATAATGAACATCTCCTGTGTGTCTTGATGCATGCTCAACCATCCAGGTAAGTCAGTCCCAAAAGTTGATTTTGTTATCTGGACGTTTTCAGTGGGAGAAACGTTTCGTCGCTGATCCAGGTGACGTCTTCAGTCTCAGCTGACTGCAGGTTTCAATCTTATAAACAGTACGTCTGCATAATGACTGAAACCAGCCCTCTGAAGGAACAATGGGCTGGGAGGTCAGTTTATGATCATTCAGATTCTCATGACCACTGATCAACATCTACAGAGCAAAGATACATCTTTCGCCATCTTACAATGGTTTGATTGTAGCCATTCACCAACTCTCTATGAATGGTACTCATGGCCACTGATCAGTAGTTGTTGAGGCTGTTAAAATCTCCCAAATGGATAAAAAAAAACTGAAGAAATTTAACTAAAACAGTGACATAGATATATGTCACATGCAGATTAAGAGCTTACTTCCTTTAACAAAAGATGCAAAAGAAACTTGGTCATAATAATAATAAAGACATTTGAGTCTACTTTACAAAGCAAATACCAGAGCTCTGCGTTCCACTGAATTTACTTTTTCTTCACATTAAAAAACAATACAGAAAAAATACATGAAAAAAGTTCCACATATATTCAAACCTAAAAACTGTTTTTCTCTCAGAATAACTAAGTTTGCCAGATTAAATTCCATTTGCTTGAAACTTAGCAAATGGAATTTGATTTAGGACAACAGAAATGTGTAAAACAATGAAAATCTATGAAATCTCACGTTGTGGTGGTGGCAGATGGCTGCCTGTCCCCTAGCCTGGCTCTGCCGGAGCTTTCTTCCTGTTTAAAGGAAGTTTTTCTTTCCCACTGTCGCCTAGTTCCTGCTCATAGGGGCCGTTTGTTTTCTGTTTTTTCTGTATTTATGTAGGATTTTTACCTTACAGTGTAAAGCTCCTTGAGGCAACTGTTGTGATTTGGCACGATTTATATATAAAACTGAATTTAACTGAAGTGTCTAGCTCCACCCCAACATTTAAAGGACTCAAAAATTTAAAGGACTTATAATTTAAGGATGCTCTTTTCTACGGCTTTTCTGCAGCCTCTTCGTTGCAGTGAGCAACTCCAGCCAGCAGATGGAGAACTATTTATTTTGTGAGTGTGTGTCTTTCTTAATGAGAACTGATGAACTATGGTATTTTAGTAACTGCAGATTCATGCAGACTTTTGTCATCATTTTATGTTGTTGCATATTATAATGACATGTTTAATCATTTATTTTACACCATTAATGAGTTTTTTCTGTTGAACGTTTTTTGCAAGTGACAATAGATCATTCATTTCCATGTTGTTACATTTTTAAGCAAAAGAGTTTCAATCTGTGTTTGTTGCAGGATGCCAGCTGGTAAATACTAAAGACATAAAAACTAACACACACACACACACACACACACACACACACACACACACACACACACACACACACACACACACACACACACACAATAAATAAAACTAAAGTAAAATGAAAAATGTTTTTAACAATAAACTCTTAAGTGAAATAAGCAAATCTACTTAAACTCAACTTTAAATAATTTAGCAAAGATAAAACCAGGATGACTCCCTGCTACACCCTGTGCAGAACACGTTTGGGTGCAGCAGGTTGTTTAGGATCAGATTTGGCATCATGCATAAGGGATTAACATTGCAGTGAGACAGATGTGTAAGCATTGTTGCTACTCACAGGTTATCAGATGCAGAGCACTGCAGACAAGCAGCATCAGTGCAGGAATACCAGCAAACAGAGGAGCAGTGGAACTAGGGGCAGAGGTGGGGGCCCGTGGCTGTGTCAGCTGAGGAGCTTCAGATTTGGTCGCTGTACACTTCTGACTGTTAACACAAAAGCAGAGACAGAGTCAGAACTACCGCCTCATTCAGGAGAATCCCCCAATGATCAGTTTAGCTCACAGTGTGGACTCACAGCTGCTTCTGCACAGCCTGCTTGCTGGACTCACAGCCTTTGGTCTGAGCCTGAGCTGCCATCATGTTGCTCTCAGCAGCCTTCTGCAGACTCTCTGCAGCCTCGGTCTTATGAACGGCCTGGGTCAGGTTCTGCTCAAGGGTGTCAATTTGATCTGAGAACAGAAAACAGGGAAAGCTCCAGTGAATGCAAGGAACCATGCAAAAACAGATGAACCACACAAACAGCACACATACAGGATACTTCCAGATTCTGTTAAAAGGGGATTCTCCCTCCCCACTGTCGCCAAGTGCTTCCTTACATGGGATTGGCTGATAGCTGAGGTTATCTTATTATATTGTCTCACAACATAAAGGATCTTGAGAGGACTGCGGTTGGAAACAGGTGCTTTAAAAAAAATGTAGATCTGTGAAGTAGAAATAAAACTCCAAGTCTACGTTCTGCTTAGTTTTCTGGACCTGTAGTCAGTTTTCCAACCCAGCAACAGTAACTAACCAATCCTACATTTGTTTTCTTGGGAACTCCTCAGTCCGGACACGCTTTGAGGGTTTGTCTCAGGTCTGCGCCTGCATTAGCTTATAAGGAAACATGGAGTGGTATCAGAGAGCCTCCAGTGGGAGCTATGTGAGGAATGACCTGTGCTGTGCTGCCAGCACTCGTCTTGTCTGGACTTTGACTTCGTTATTTGCAGAATGTTACTCAGGCTCAGTGAGATCATCATCATCAATCCTACAACCGGATTTTTTTTCTAGAGTTGTGTCATCATTTCACTTGTTTCCAACACACATTCATTTATTTCCTTTCATACTTAATTCTTTCCAACATTCCTCCACTTCCAAAAACCAGGCTCCTAAAGTCTTCTGCGAAACAGCAAAATTATTTCAGTATGTTTAAAAAAAGCAGCAACATCTAAAGCTGGAAAATGAACCTGAATCAGAAGCCTAAAAAACTGCAGCCCAAACCTGGTAAACAACAATTTTGACTTTGTAGCAAATCCCATCCTTCATAACAGCTGTAAAGTATGTGAACTTTTAAGTAACTTACCAGTTTAAATAAAGTTTGCATTATTAGGCATTTGGCTTATTTGACTGCCAGGTAGCTAGAGACATAGGGGGCTGTAGCTGTAGGTTCATAGCAATGACTGTATAAAAGTTTTCTACAGTCATTGGTGCATAGATGGTGTAAAAGATGAAAGTAGCTACCTAACATCATCCATTGGTTTCGTTGAGTCTGATTCTGAGATTAGGTTTTTTCCCATTGACATCTTGGTTTCAAAAACCAGAAGTGACAAGAAGGCACGGGTCTGATTGTGAAACCGCTTCCTAATGGCCTGAGACTGGAAACTTGTAAGTCAATGAGCATTCTTAAATTTTAAGCGTAACTTAATTTTTTTTATTCAGTATGACTCAAATGCAGTTATGTGATAAATAGCATGGCTCGCTGAATAACTGTCCAAGACATCTGCACTTTGGTTTTGGTGAAAAACAATTAGTGGGGTTTTATTAGTCTGTTTAATACATACATACAGCGTTTGGTGCAAACAGAAAAATTCCAGGGATCAAAAGCACACATTTTAAACGAAAACACGCCCTGGCTACATGTTTTTTCCTAGTCCGATGTTTTGTGACTGATTTCTTCCACACTGATTTGTTCATATTAAATAGTGACTGATGTTTATCAGAGCAACCCTCTCCCTTCTAACACAATGCTCCTTTCATATCTCCTCCGTACAGGAATTTATTGTTTCCCTTCAACCGCTTGCTGCAGGAAGTCACCTCCATTAATGTATGTCTCCACTTCCCATCAGGCCGCTGTTCTTGCCCTGTTATTTTTTGAGATTCCTAGTCAAGAAAATTGCTTTCCTTCGTATGATAAAGATTAGTGTTTTATGGTACAGTATTAAAAAAAATCACTTAAACAATACAAAGAGTCCTTTAATGAAGTTTTAGTTTGACATCTGTTTTTTAATGAGCTCTTTTTAAAAAGGAACTACTTAAACCAAGTCCTGCTGCTTTGGTTCAAAACTCATAGTATGAACAGCTTTAAGAACTGATCTCATTGAACAAAAGTTAAGAATGTGAGTGCTGAGTTGACCAGCAGGAGAGAAGACATCTATGTGTCACCACAAAGTGGTGCCTCTGAACCTCAAACACTTTTTTAGTTTCATTTTCAGTTTACGATGAAACGAGACAAACAAGACTAAAGCAGATTATCTTTTGAGATGGTTATCTTATTTGTTGCCGTTTACTAGTTCAAACTGGTTTGACAAAGAAAAAATGCTGCTGTCATCCCTCTGACTACGCTATGGTTTTAGCATCTTTAGCTACCAGAAGTAGGCCCTCCAGGGCTAAATCAATAGGTTAAAATAAACACTGGGCACAGGTAATATTTTGGATCAGAATTTTAAAAAATGCATGTTTTCATTATCCAGGGTTAGAACATCTTAGATGACCCCATACTTAACTGATTAGTCAGTAATAGGTGGTTTGAATTAAGCTGCTGTGAAAGTGTTAATGACTAAACTTAATGACCAACCCAAAACCTTAGTCGATAGTGATTCTTTTCTGCATATTTGGTGTCCGGGACATTTTTACACTAAACATTAACATTACAGAGAATCCAGACATCATCTCCAAGACGCTCAGAAAGCCCAACTGCCTCAACAACAAACAGATCTCCATGAGTGCAACTCTCAAAATGACAATATATAGACTTTACACCTGCTTAAAGAAATCCTACGTCACATATATACTACCAGACAAAACCTTGGACACACCTTCCAATTTCATGGTTTTGCTTTATTTTCATGACTATTTACATTGTAGATTCTCACTGAAGGCATCAAAATGAACACATGGAATTATGTAGTAAAAAAAGTGTGAAATAACTCAAAACTTTCCGTCCTTAGCTTTGATTACTGCCTTGCACTCTCTTGGCATTCTCTCAATGAGCTTCATGAGGTCGTCACCTGAAATGGTTTCCAACAGTCTTGAAGGAGTTCCCAGAGAGGCGGAGCGCTTGTCGGCCCTTTAGCCTTCACTTTGTGGTCCACCTCATCCGAAACCATCTTGATTGGGTTAAGGTCGGGTGACTGTGGAAGCCAGACCATCACTTCTTGGTCAGTTAGCTCTTACACAGCCTGGAGGTGTGTTTGGGGTCATTGTCCTGTTGTAATATTAATGATGGACTAATTAAACGGAAACTGGATGGGATGGCATGTTGCTACAGGATGCTGTGTTAGCCATACTGGTTCAGTGTGCCACCTGCAAAGCCCCCCCACACCATCAAACCTCCTCCTCCATGTTTCACAGTGGGAACTATGCATGTAGAGATCATCCATTCACCTTTTCTGCATCGCACAAAGACACCGCAGGTGGAACCAAAGATCTCAAATGTGGACTCATCAGACCAAAGCTCAGATTTCCTCTGGTCTAATGTCCACTCGTTGTGTTTCTTGGCCCAAACAAATCTCTTCTGCTTGTAGCTTTTCCTTAGTCTTGGTTTATCAGCAGCTATTTGACCACAAACGCCTGATTCACAGTCTCCTCTGAATAGTTGATGTAAAGATGTGTCAGCTACTGAAACGCTCTGTGACATTTATCTGGGCTCTAATCTGAGCTGCTGCTAACTTGCGATTTCTGAGGCTGGTGAATTTATCCTCAGCAGCAGAGGTGACTCTTGGGCTTCCTTTCCTGGGGCGGTCCTCGTGTGATCATGTTTCGTTGTAGCGCTTGATGGTTCTGGTGGCTGCACTTGGGGACACATTTGAAATTTCGTGAATTTTCCGGACCGACCGACGTTGAGTTCTTAAAGTAATGATGAACTGTTGTTTCTCTCTACTTAGCAGATTGGTTCTTGCCATAATATGAATTATAACAATTGTTAAATAGGGTTGTCAGCTGTGCACCAACCTGCATAACACAACTGATGGTCCCACTCAAGGCAAAGAAATTCTACAAATGAACCCTGACAAGACACGGCTGTGAAGTAGAAACCATTTCAGGTGACTACATCATGAAGCTCACTGAGAGAAGGCGGCTACTTTAAGGAATATAAAATATAAAACATATCAATATCTTATCAATCTTTTCTTTGCTACATAATTCTATATATCTGGCTTCAAATATTTGATTTCTTCAGTATGTATCTACAATGTAGGAAGTAGTATAAATAAAGAAAAACCATTAAATGAGGAGGCGTGTCTGAACCTTTGACTGGTAGTTTATACACCAAAAACACCACAAAGTGAACCACTTGCCTCCCTGAGAGAATGTGCACAAAAGAGGAAGTGAAACATAAATGGTTCCTAAACTCAAAACCATGCAGAGCTTCCTGTTGTAACACCTCAGTCGAAGGTTTTTTTTTACATAACTGTTTCATCAGCTTTAAAAGAATAACAAAGGATATGAAAGAACACCGATGGGCAGCTGTTTTACAGCGAGACATTGCCTGGCTTTGGAAAGAAAAACAAAACAACAAAAAATGATCTAATTAATTTTAGAAGCACCACACAATGCTGATGCAGTTCAACCATCAACCCTGCTGGTACTGAAATATCTCCAGCACTTGGATTCACACAGAATTTTGTAGTTTGTGTTGCTGCAAACAGCACAAAGAATCAAAGACAACTGTTGCACCAGGTTTTGGACCTGATCATTAGAGGAAACATGAAGATATGTAAGAGTTAAATTAAAATAACAGGTGTTGGAGTTTGTGACATGTTGAGCTGCTCTGTGAAGTCACTTCTGCCCTGCGAGCTGTTGGCATAGCGTTGTGATCCTTCAATACAGGGAAACCCACATTCCTCAGACCTGACGGGTCCCGCTGTTTGTTCTGAAAGTAATTACACCGGCAACAAAGGAACAATGCACCAGTGTTGTGTGTAAAGTTGCTACCTTGGCCAGGTTTTTATCTCAGAATTCCTGATAAAGTAAACATAAAAAAAAGGAATAAATTCTACTGATGAGGCAAATCTACTGCGACAACGTACAGAAATGACAACAACACTGACAACGACATCCAGACAGAGTAATGGGTGCTTTAGGTGTTGAGACAACAACACCTACAACTTGGGCTGTTGCTGGTAATACCAACCCTCCACTTCTTTTTGTTTTTTGACCGACCAATCGTGTATTTATTTACACTCTGTCCTCATGGCAACAGTGGAGGAAAATATGGCTAAGAATAGGGCCGGGGAAAAGTCTCCTTTCATGGCAGTGATGGAGTTTTTCCTACCTCTCAGCAGGCTGAGCTGAACAGTGAGGTTCGCTTCTTTCTGTCGCAGTTCCTCAATGTCCTCCTGCATGATGGTCATGTTCCTGTTCAGGAGGACCTGTAGAATGAATTAAACACACCCCAAAGGGAGAAGAAGAAAAAGAAACCTTGGTGTTACTGTGAGTTAAAGGAAGTTAATACCCAAGTCAAAAGACAAACATTACAGACAGCCTCAGCTGATTAACATGAAAACACACCAACTAAAATTAAACCCAGATCTCAAAATTTCACGTAACAACTGCAAATATCACATGTAGTCCAAACGTTTCACATCTGAGAGCTCAGAGCATGACTGGAAGGACTGAGCGACAGTTGTTCTTTACATGCAGAAAAGAAGAGCGTGTGTTTACAGCAGTGGAGTTTAACTGACACGTCCAGGCTTGTCCCTCGACAGAGGACGTTTTTGTCTTTCTTAATCCTGGAAAAAGGTTTTAGACAAATCCTAGGAAACTCCCACCTCTTACATTGTTGTTGCCTTTTTTTAACCAGTTTTTCTAATTAGATTTTCACTTACTCAGGTGCAGTTAACACTATTGCTTATTAGATGGCTAGAAGTAATGGTCATATAAGGTAACAGACTTTACTGCACGTCGCTCTGCACAGTCACACCCAAAGAACTAATCAGAATCAAGAAAAATCCAAGCACGGTGGAGTTACAGGTTTTGGACTTTCAGCATGAGTGCTGCAGGCTTTATGGAGCCAGAAAGGACTCGGATGGCGTTATCAGCCAGTGCTACCAAGTAGCCTCTGTTAGCAAGCCGCATCCATTTACTGGGTGGGTGTTTCATGCACACAGTCCTAAGTAACAAATACATAAAATATAAAACAAATAAATAAAAAAACACTACAATTTCATTTACTGCGAATTCAGCACAAACGTCTTGGACATGTTAGTAAAGTTAAGAATTATCTTTCAGATATCTCCTTTAAAAATCCTCCAAAAGGTCGTAAGTGTACTGGAGGAATTCCAGCTTTGGCCCCGTTGTTGTTAGATGCCCTCTGCATATTCACTGAATGTCCCGATTAACCAGCTGCAGTAATATAAGATAACCTTTCCTTTTTATAGACAGGTGAAATCTACATCAGAAGGATAGAGGTGGTGCAACTTTGTCAGGTCCCTTTGAAAACTTTGCATCCAAGGCTCAAAGCTTCTTAGGAGGATTTTGTTTGTTTGTTGTGCCTCACTTTTTACTTTTGCTTTCATTTGCTGGGAGGGTTTAGCCAGTACTTTGGGGTAAAACGAAACTCTTCACAATGGTAACCCTGTTTAGGTGGACTTTGCTAAAACTTTGTATGTCTGTGTGGGGATGCCACAGGAGACCTGCAAAAAGAAAAAGCCTGCACGGTTGACTTGACAGCATTAATTGCAGTGCTGGGGAAATGTTGATGAAGATAGTTGAGAATAACTGCTAACCTCTGAAAAGCAGCTGAAGGATATCTGACAGGATTTCTTCTACCAGCTTGAAGTTGAGCACAGGAAGCTGACAGGAAGGACAAAATAAACTTTGGTTTCTTTGGTACTTTCCAAAATGTCTGCTTTGTCAGTGTGGATGATCATCTTGCTATAATTCTCATAAACATGCATATTTAAGAGATCTTTGCTCATTGGCACTCAGCCCTAAAAGCAGCTTCAACATAAGATTCTGTTTCCTTGAGTTTCATTTTGCTTTTATGTTTGCGATGACCTGATTTGCGCACATCACAGTGGTGAGCATGTTTCTAGAAAAATGCTGTGTGTTTGTGCATGCATCCATTTCCATAATCTCAATAGCTGTGGACAGCTAGCAGCAATGACGCCTGCAACTACTTCAGCACAAAAATGTGTGCAGAAGCCAAACATTTTTACTGGATGAGTAGAAAAGTCAGAGTCAAGAGGGGAGAAGTTAGACTGAGGAAAAAGTAAGGAGCAGGCAGGGAGGGAGGAGTGAAGGAGTGGAGAGTGGGAGTGAGTCAGGACGAACCACAGGAGGAGGGAGAGAGAAGGCAAACACTCATTTTTTCCAACCAGCGACTCTCAGAATACAGAGTTGGAAATGTTGGAAGCAACTGAATGCCTCTTATCCTATAAACACTGAGTCAAGCCTGCAGGGAGGAAAAAAGTTGTTGTACGCGAAGGAAAATCAGGTCTCCCAAAGTGGAAAGAGTTGAGCAAAGAGGAGGAGAGAATCCCACTCTGTTCATATCTGAGCTCATTTTCACACTCAGAGAAATCCTTGTTGCATCAAACTCAGCTCTGCACCGTCACTGTGGATATTTCACATTTTGACTCCTAAACATGCTAAACTCTGGTCTCCGTCTACCCTCTCTGATGACATTTATTGATATGTCTCAGCGTTTTTTCTTTTTGAGGACAGATGGAAGCCATTAGTGTTTTGGTGAGGTGGGTGGGGCAGCTTTGGTTTCAATTTTGCAAGCTGGATTAAAAAAAGATGCTATTTTCAGTATCAGTATTAAGTTTGTAATTTAAGTCAAACTATCATTCTTGGGAGCTTCCAGTGCATGCTGGGAAGTCTGCTGATGTTTGGGACTCATTGTGAGTTAAGCACAACTTCAGCTTCAGTCTAAAGCTGGCAAGAATAAAAAACTGAGGTGAATCTAATGCATTTCTATTTGGCTCTTTGCAGTGTCGACCGTATGACCGTAGGTTCTATTGGTGGTTGTGATGAAAGGAACCAATCAAAAAGGTTTTGACTTTTATTCCCGCAGTATCAAAGATAAAGAGAGCGTTTTTTTAAACCGGTTTAAAAGTCTAAAAAGTGAAAGGAGCATATTAGTCATTTAATTTAGTTGAAATTTGCCACCCAAACATCCACCTTTCCCCCCTTTCTACTTTGTGGAGCCTAGCTATGCCAGCTATCAAAGGGCAAGAGGCAGGTATGCCCTTCAGACAAATATTCCCACTAACATTCAATTAGGAATCATCATTAAACTGTGGGAGGAAGCAGGAGTACCCGGAGATGAGTAGAGCATGAACCTCCACACAGGAACACGGGACCTTCTTGGTGTACGAGAACAGTGCTAACCACTGTAGCAGCAGGCCAACCTACACAACATACTTCTATTAAAAAAGACGTAGAGCTTTTTAATTGTCGTGCACATGATATGGCAGGATAATATTTAGTAATTTGTTCATGTGCATATGACTGCAATGTTGCAGCTGAAAATTATTATAATGTCTTAGATGCAATAAGAAGCTTCTGAAGGGTTTGTGGAGTTAAGGGTGTAGTAAGGCCAACCGACCATCGTGCAAACTAACCTCAAAGAAAATTACTCGTTGGTCCAACGATATATGAACATTTTCTAATATGAAGCAAAGGCTGGCTCACCATTTTAATGAAACAACCATACTATGCAAAGATAGGTACAGCAGGAGGGGAGCTTTGCATGGCTCTGATAACTGATCCAACTGGTGCTCTGTTATTCTATTCTATTCTTTTCTATTTCTTCAACTAAGTCTACATCATTGTAAACTACATAATCAGTCTGACATAAATGCCACCCATGGGTAGCAGAGGAGGTGCTGAAATGATAAATAAATGACTGAACTCACGTTTTCCTGCCGGCACTCCTCCAGTGTGACGTTGGTGGTATTGAGTTGGCCCAGGAGCACCAGGTTCTCAGCTCTCTGTTGCTCTGTCGTCCTCCTTTCATCCAACACCATCCTCTCCAGAGTTTCTTTGTTCTTGTTATACACCACCTTTGCCCCTTCCATCTTCTCGGTGACCTCCTGCAGCTCGGCGCGGCATTGGGCTGCGCCTTTCATGTCGGGAGATGTCGCCCACACCACGATCACGATGAGAGAGATGATGGACCAGAGCGCCAGCAGGGCAATCACCACACTCTTTACCATCTGGGAGGACTTGGAGGCGGCCGCCATCGGGGGGATTGGAGGCTATGAAAATGATGACAACGATGAAGAACGGTGGAGAACGGTGGAGCAGCTGCTCTCAGTAAGTCTCTCAGGTTGAAGTGAGCTGGAGTTTCCCTTCAGGCTGGGCAGGGACACAGGGAGGGGCTCCCTCACACGATGACAGGAGGACGGCAAACCTCACCATCTCCACCCCCAGGAACCATCCCACCCTGAACCTCGCCCTCCTTCTCTGTGTCGGTGTTATCAAACCCAGAGAGCATGCAGCGATCAACAGGAAAGTTACAACATCAGAGTGAAGCCAGCAGAGTTTAACACTCACACAGAGCTAAGTTGGAAAGTTACATGTAAAGAGAGAGGGAGGGTGTCTGTGGGTGTGTGGGTGTGTGTCGAACACTGAAGCTTTCTGTTTCTATTTCCCAGCTTGCCAGTGATGATCTTGGATGAACTCAAACTGCAAATATGCTCCAGGCAGAGAAATGAAACTCAGAAAAGAGAAACAGAGAAAAGAAAGACAAAGAAACGCAGCATCAGAAAGAAAACCTACTTTACAGCCGCATTCATGTTTTCATGCCAGCTGCTGGCACGTAGATCCCACAAGCCCCACCCTCTGATTCACAAGACCACAGCCCCCAATGCCCACCATGTCTACCTTTGCTGTGATTGGCTCAGGGGCAACAGTCTCTGTGGTTTAGCCAAACATCTTTTTAAACATCTGTAACTCCTACCAGGAGCTTTAAGGGACCCTGGTCCAGCTGTGGCTCCATGTCCCTGAATCACCTAGGGTTAGCCACTCCTTTAACAACACCCACCTACCCCACCCCGTCAGGACAGAGTTTTCAGGGATGGAGCCAAACACATGCAAGTTGTTTTCATAAAGAAGCCAGTGGATAATACTTCTCAGCAGGTTTACGGGCAGCGTCTGCAGAATAGATGAAACAGGGAGACTTACTGAAAGCAAAGAGCCTTAAGACCAAACAACACTCACTTCTGGTAAATGGACCAGCTGCTCACAGCTGGAAAACACCAAACTATTGTTGCTGATGGGAGAGCTTTAAAGAGATTTTAGAATCAAAATGCATTACAGCTTAAATAAAAATGCTTCATTTTTCAAATCTAACTGGAAATAACATTCATTTTCCTGTCCAAACAATAATGCACTGACCTCTGCCTTTAGTTCTGTGTTTGCTAACTGCTCTGACAGATAAACAGTTAGTGTAGTGAAGGTGTCCTGGGCCAAGTCCATAAATAGCAGAGAAAAACAGTGAGCAGGAAACAGTGGCTTTCTGCCATCATTGTCAATGATAAATATGCCTGTTCATCAGCACAGCTGCCATAGTGCTGGGTGGTTGAGTGCATCTATGAGGAGCGACAGCTGTACACAAAATCGGTTGCTGTACAATTTCAGCTCATTTTCAACCAGGTTGGTTTGTTTCAATCCTTTAATTATATTCATTATACAGGATGCTTTAGTTTAACATGCACATTTTCATACTGAAAAATAATCCCATTGTTATTATTCTGCAGGTGTTTGTGTATCCTTCAGTTAAAAAGAGAAAACCGACTGAAAAATATAAAATATGTTTCTCTACAATTCACACCAATCGACTGTCCCATTAGAATTAGTTTTCAAACGAGAGCTGCGACTCATTTAGTCACATCAGAGCTACAGTCCAGTTTTAACTTCTTTTATAGAAATCGAGACTCAAAGGAAGTCAAGTTTAACAATGCTGTGGACCTCTGCATGCTTCGATAGCTACAATTCAGTTACACTAGTTAATTATATGTTAGTGCCATGAAAAAGATATTTACATTCACAGGTTTAGTTCATTTAGGGCTCCAAAAATATTAAATATACAAGGATGCAGAACAGTTGAGAGCACCAACCTTTCACTTTGGAGAAGCTGAAACTGATTATTTTTCTTGATTAAAGCAATAAATCATTCATTAAAATTACCGTGTGTTTTTCTCATTTTGCCATCCTGAATGCAGGTTTTCAAAATCACCGTTTAAACTAAGAAACAGAGTAGCTATCACTTTAGCCAAATGGTGTGTATACCTTAAAATATGAACCACCTGCAAACACAAAACTATCTGAATTCTTCAAACCTTCAAAAGCTGCAGCAAAAGCCAACAGGAAATGTTTAATCAGCATCACTTTCTTGCCACCATATAAAGATTTGTGAACCGATTCAATTCTTTTTATTTATATAGGACCAATCACAACATCGGTCTCCTCGAGGGGCTTCGTGTTGTTAGGTAAAGACCCAATAATGCAGAGAAAACATGAGAACAGAGAAAGAAAACACTCCTCTGTTCTCAGATCTGATGTTTTTGGCTTGAAGGCAGACAGCCAGCTGACCTCTGACCCTCCTTTCTACTGTCCAAACAGAGGAAGTGCTGTGCATTCAGATGAGGTCAGGGGTTAACCGCACTCTCACACAGCATGGCAATACTAAGCCAAGACCGGAAATAATATGTCCATGATTGTATTTTTTAAATTAAATTAAGATAAGATAAGATAAGATAAGATAAGATAAGATAAGATAACCTTTATTAGTCCCACACGTGGGAAATTTGTTTTGTCACAGCAGGAAGTGGACAGTGCAAAAGTTATGAGGCAAAAATTAGAATACAATAAGAATAAATACAGTACACAACTGTACAGAATAGAATAAAATAAAATACTATATACAGTAGAATAAAATAAAATAAATATACAATAAGATAAAAATAGAATACAAATACAAATACTATATACAACTGAGTAAAAATACAACCCTCTAGTTCCATATGATGAGAGTACTGGATACACGGTGTTGTACTCCGTCACTCTGGGATAATCTAAATGTGAATTTTGTCTTATGAATCAAGTGCCTTGTATTTGTTATTTATTGATGGTGCAGCAGTATTAACCAATGATAGAAACGTGGCGGTCAGAGACATGGTCGCATCAACTCAAACCTACAATTTTAAACTTCTTTAAAACCTTCTTTGAAATCTAAATGCATTTTAACATGTAGTTTCTAATAAGGTTCAGGTTGTTTTCCTCCCTTTCCTGGAAACGAGATGAGCCGATCAGTGCCACACATCCACAGTCGCTCTGATGGCCGCTTGGTGTTGGTGTCAAAAGTGAATCAATCTCCACTGACTCTGATTTTAAAATACAAAACTTTACAGCACAAATGAACACGTTTAAAGTTTAGTGCAAAAGCAGTCTCAGCAAAGTGAGCTAATTCAAACCAGGAACAGTGGTGCTGATGTTAGCAGCAGATATACCAAAAACAGAGGCTTAAGAGGAAGAACAGCTAATCTACTCATCAATCCCGAGCTCTCCCTGTCTGCCAAAGCAACCTTGAATGTTGCTGAACCCTGAAATGCCCCCAATCCACCAGGAGTGTGAGCGTGTGTTTGGATGAATGTGTGTGTGAATGTGTGGGTGACTCAGGTAAACTAAAACAGTGTCATGTTGTCACACTTGCTGCTGGCTGTGTGTTAGTGGCTTCATATTCCAGCTTACCAATAAAAGCAGTGCTGTGCTCTGCAGCTGATTGTGTTGTCCAAAAACAACCAAAGTTTTCATTTCTGTTTCTAATTGTTTTGTTCAGCGTTGTGTTACTGCTGACACTAAGACATCACTAATGAGATAATGTGGTTCAGTTTAACAGAACGCATAAGAATCCAGCATGTCAGACAGTGAGTGAAGTACTGTCGCTTTGTGAGGAGAGATTTGTGCAACCCCTTGCACAAGCTCAGATTTGAAACAAGTTGTTTTTGGCTTGTGACAGTCTCCAGTCCCTGTGTGCCCTTTGAGGCTTCATCATCTCATGATTTCATACCTCGGACTGATTCCGAAGCAGTGATGATTTTACAGCACCACCTGCTGGAAGATCACATACTCTACACCTTCAAACTCCCAACACAGACAAGAGTTCAATAATTATTCATGGTATTATTTTATACACTGTGATCATTTAACAAAATTCTGTTAAAATTATATTTTAAAAAAATTGTGACCATCAATAGTGATCTGTGTATTCGTTCAGTTTCTGGGCCTTCAGCTGGCACTGCAATAAAAACAGGCATGATTCTGTGGTGAAAATGACTGAATGGGCTCCAGAACACTTCATTGTTTGTGAACACAGTTCACCATGCCATCGATAAATGCAGGTTAAAGTTCTATCATGGAAAGAAGAAGCCATTTGTTACCAGAAATGCGTCCTTCCTCTCTGGGCCAAAGCTCGTTTAAAATGTGGGGAAGTAGAAACCTGTTCTATGGTCAGAAGAATCGAGATTTGTAATTCTGTTTGTAAAACATGCATGCTGCATCCATCGAGGTAAAGGTCAGAGAAAGAGACCATATGGCTTGTTATCAGCACTCAGTCCACAGCCCGTATCTTTGTTGGTATAGGGGTGCATTAGTGCAGCGCTCCCCAACCCCCGGGCTTCGGACCGGTACAGGTGTTGTGCCAAACTAGGTATCCCCGACAGAATTTGTTTCCCCTGCGTAGGGAGCACACGCTGGACTGTCCAAATCACGGACAAACAGTATCCCACATTGTTGATTTTTCGTTTACAAACACTTCTTATAATGACCAACTACTCCTGACATTTTTGAGATGTTAGCTCTTTATACAACGAAGTTATAGTGGGATACAAATAATATCAGGCTGGTCCTGCCACAATTTGTTCCCCCTGTGTAAATCACGGACAAACAGGGTCCCACATTGTTGATTTTTTGTTCACAAACACGTATTACTCCTGAAACTTTGGAGGATTTAGCTCTTTATATAGTGAAGTTACAGGAGAATAAAAATATTTATCAGCCAAAATGTTAATGGTTTATTAAAATAATCCCATCTGATACCTCGTGAGCAATAAATATATAATTTTCTGTTGTAACCTTCAAACTGAATGGTAACGTAACGATACTAATTTTTCACTTTTTCACAAAATGAAAACATCAGTACTTCCTGCATACTCCCAGCACAGGGGAAACAAATTATGTCGGGGATACCTACTTTGGGACACCGGTCTGTGAAAATATTGTCGGGCATAAACCGGTCCGTGGCGCAAAAAAGGTTGGAGACCGCTGCATTAGTGCATATGGAACTGGCAGCTTGCACGTCTAGATAAGCATGATCAGTGCTGAAAGGTGTGCAGAGCAATATATGCTGTCATGTCTGTGAAGGTTCTCTGTCATCCAGGTCATTGTAGTCAAAGGAGCTTGCAAAGAAAAGCGTCTGGACTTTTCACCTCTCATCCGAGAAGCTTCTTCAGTTCTAAGGTCAAATGGGTTGGGGTTTGACTGAACCAAAGCTTAGTGTTTTTATCA